ATGCTAATCTCCTCTCGCGTGCACAAGCAGCTGGATAGAACAGGTGTAATTTACGCAGCTCATTTACACAGATAGAAGATAGAAGAGTTTGTTGAATCTGACGTGACATGTTCGTACGAACCCTTCATACGAACAAAAGTAAGAGAAATTTAGGATAAGAATACAAACATGTTCTTGCATGAGGCCCATTTGTGTTGTGCACTTGGAGTCTCTACAGACAAGTTGAATAAATATTTTTATATTGTTTGGTTCATATTTTTCAACGTGTTCAGTTTAATTTAATTTTTTAATTAAATTTTTTGTTTTCTGAAGTATGCCATCAAATTATTTGCGACAGAACATGTAAATAATGTGTACAGTTTGGTGACACGGTAAATAAAAGTTCATGTAGAGGAAGTGTAGTCTGACAGCTTCCTTCACTTTGTTACGTCTCCAGGTGAGCTGTGGTCTGACAGCAGCAGCTTCACTCAGTCTCTCCTCTTTGTGTAAAAACCAGAGAACTGCTGCCAAACTCTGACTCACATTCCATTAAATTCATAATTCCCCTGCATTTAGACATTATGTTTAATGAAGCAAAGCAGAATCACACACGTGGGGCAGATTTWAATGGAGGCYTGTCAGGGGGAGGAGTCTGATGTGCGCTCAGTTCCAGTTTGATAAAACTGAATATTTCTGTGCTTTGGTCCCTTTACACCTGCTTTTATTATGAAGGCTGCACGCCTTAATACCCAAGTGTGTCTGGGAGAAACTCAACAGGAGCAGGATTTTAAAAACAGGGCTCTTGAGTGCGACCAATTTGGTCGCAAATGCGACCTGATTTCCTAATAGTACGACTAAAAAATGTCTGGTCGCACTGGTGCGACCGAGAGGGAGGGGGAGCGGTCGCCTGCTGGAAAAAAAAGTTTCCATGTTCCATAAAAAATAATCCAACAGTATCAGTCTCATGTCTCCTAATAACACTGCGCTCTGCTCCACACCTCCTGCACACACGTTTGTTGTTCTGTACTCATGGGGACATTGCATCGACTTCCATTCATTTCCCCGTCAATTCTGTAGCCAACCATAACCTCCCAGGTAGACTACACACCTGACCCAAACCCTAACCTCACCTGGCTGTGTGTACTGGGGAAATGGTCAATAATTATACCCACCATGAAGCAAAAACCTGGACACACAGGTGCGCGCACGCATAGCGAAGCAACCGTAGTTATTTTTAAACCCAGATCAGAGTCTGAAAACGGTTCTTTCTTGTTAGCTGGAGATGAAAAGATGTGGACGGTTGCTCGCTCTTCCATCTAGTTAATGTAACAGTCGGGGTCTGAGCGCTGCAGATCATTTGAGGAGGACGAGGAAGCTCACATGTATGGCAGGCCAGTTTAGCACTTAATCGACTTCACCACAGTTTCATTCCAAGTATCTGAAATAGGTTCTCCTGGGTCTCAGGAGGATAAAACTAGACATATTAGATATTTAAGTGAAATAATATAAGATAATAAGATTCAACTAATGCTAATTAAATTGCAGACTTTTATGTGTTATTTTTAAAAAATCTGCACAACCTTTTAATAAATATCAGTAATATTTCTGTTATTAATCATTATTTGTTCATCATTCTGGTTTATCCAAGGCCAAAGATCCATATTTGTCCATCTGAGGGACAGGTGTCTAAAATAATTTAACCATGAAATGTTTAAGATGTTTATAAGATGTTCAATCCTTAAACATTTGCACTTTGAATTTTATAGAATCACTTTAAATACTTTTCAGTAAGTTAAATGTCTAATTCTGGTTCAAATAAAGAACTTCATGTTTACTAGATTGTTAACTAATTATTTTTGAGTTTATGTTGCCTTAATGAACAGTGATTAAAAAAATAACCTGTAAAACTCTGATGTTAAATTTTTGTATTTATTTTTATCAGTTTTATTTATTTACTGTTATTTAATCAGGGACGTGTGGCGGCCTGGGCCTGAAGACAACCTGTTGTACATGTTTTTGTGTTTGGGGGAAACCAGAGTACCTGGAGAAAACTATCGCAAGCAGAACATGCAAACTCCACACAGAAAGACCCCAGATCCGAACCGGGGATCGAACCCAGGACCTTCTTGCTGTGGGGCGTCGGTGCTAACCACTGAGCCATCGTGTTGCCAAATGCGACGTGGTAGAAAATTTGGGTGCACCTAACTTTTGTGCTGGTGCACCTAAGAAAAAAATGTTAGGCGCACCGGTGCAACCAGTGCAAAAAGTTAGTGTAGAGCCCTGTAAAAGGTTCCTGTAGAAGCTCCAGAGAGCAGCAYGATGAACAGAGCTGAGCTCTCATCCTTCAGCATTGAACTCCATTACTGAGTCACAGATAAAACAATGTTGTTCTGCTTCAGTTTCTGGTGTGTTCACAGAAAAAGGAGCAGCCACCAACTTTTTATTGACCTACTATTAGATCCTAAAAGGAAACTGTCACTGTGAAGACAAAGAAATATTCCTCATAAAACTTGTTTTTAATTCAAAATAAACTTCCTGCTCCGTAGTCATGAGGTTTGTTCCTCTCGAGCTCTGTGCAGTGACCAATGATGTCACTCATCAAATCACATACATTTAATAAATATTCTGATGAGCAGAAGTAGGAACAAATTCAATCTAATATTAACAGTTTAATGAACGTCTCAGTAAATTTATTAACATCCCAGTGTTCAACATGTTGCACAAGCCACTGATTTTTAAAATCATTTCTCACAGCAGATGAGCTGCACACCCACAGATCTGACACAGTGAGTTTTTAGAGGGGCTGAGAAGTTCTCCCTGCAGGTTGTGACATGAAGGCTGGAAGCCTTGAAGCTGAGAAGAAAAGGATGTGATTTCCATCATGACACTGAGACAACGAGAGCAGATCTCAGCAGTTTGGATGTGGAGCAGCAGAACATTCCAGATGCARGGATGCAGTTTATAAACTTTACCTGCTGACAGATTTCACTCAGCTGATGTTGGACACCGTTTAAAAAATCTGCAATCAGCCACTTRTCTACATACTCTCAATTACCAGGCAGGAAAATAAAGCTGCAGCAGCAGCTGCTACAGTCGGCTTCCTGCAGCCATAAATGAGTTTTAAAGCCAGGAAGATCTTGTGTATATATATTTAAGTACTGTGAACAAGCTGTTCTAGGGCTTGAAGTTATTGTTGGAAATGTTTTCTTGTTAAAGTGTGCGTCAAACTTCAGCTGATGATTTATGAGTCATGGAAAAGTTGACTGAACATCTTGTTTGATTTCTGACAGAGCTGGACTGTACACACCTGAAGAACTGCTTGGCATGRTGCTTAATTATTCACGTGGACTGGCTCAAGACTTTGCAGGTCAGTGTGCGTAAAGGGAGACTTCACATATTCTGAAGCAAGGTTCTGTGTCAGTATTTTACCTGCAGCAGATGGCTGAATGTCCTCAGCARAGATCAGTTCTTTGTTTTGCATACAGAGAAGAAGAAAAAGGTGAAATGTAATGGGAAAGATTGAAAGATAGATTAGAAGATATGTGAAATAAACACCAAGAAATCACAAGACAACACACCCGACATCTGTCTGCACACCTGCAGAAATGGAGAAAACAAAAACGCAGCAACAAAATGCATGTGTATATAATAATAATAATAATAATTATAACCTTGCTGAAAAGTATGCATACATACTATACAGCGGGTAAAATAAGTATTGAACACGTCACCATTTTTCTCAGTAAATATATTACTAGAGGTGCTAATGACATGAAATTTTCACCAGATGTCGGTAACAACCCAAGTG